CAGGAATCTATTTCCACATGGAACACAGTTCCATCAAGAAAGAAATACAATTTATTTTATTCTTAAGATTCACGTGTGTCTCCAGAGTTTAAAAGCAGTCCCATGAGCATCACAAGTTCAGATTCCTGCAGATAAACACCCTAAGAATCCAAGCAGGCAGACAAACCAAAAGAGTGGCCAATTCATCTCAGGTCTCCTGAAAGGTCTCCCTCCATCCTCCCATCTATTCTCTCCACACAAGCAAAGAGCTCACACAACAACTTTTCCTTCTGCAGCCTGTTTCCTGCTCAAAACTTACTAGGATATGGTACTAGCACACATCTTGAACTAAAGACACCTTTTTGTTTAGGAAGATAGGCTGGGAAAACAACTTTCAAAATTACTTCAGTTTATCACTTCAACGACACCATTGAGAAACAAAGCGTCCTGTCAGACAGCTTTTGGCAATACACATCTCAAGGGCATCTCTGAAGCCTCCTTCCACTCCTTTGAAGCTCTCCTCCTTCAAACCTGGGAACACAGCAAGCCAAAGGGGATGACTTCCAACTCCTGATGAATGCAGCTCTGATGTCAACAACTGCCCTGTTGTTGGACTGTCAAGGACAGTCCTGCAAAGTTGAATGTTGCTCCTCAATGCTACTTTTTCCAAGTGATACTCACAGGCTGCAGCTTTCTGCTTTGGCAAACTGGTGAAGGCAACTCCCAGTTTCCTCCCCATTCCCAAGGAACGGTTCGCTCCTGCCTCACCAGAGTCCTTCAACAGTCGCTGCCAGATCTGCTCTCTGCATCTACAATGCTGTTTTTAGGCCAGTTTTGGTTCATCTGAGGACTTGCCATTTGTCTTCTTCACTAAGCCTGCTGCAGCAAGCAGCAAGAGAAAGGAGCTACTCTGCTGTTCAGGAGCCAAGCGACAGATTTCACCACTGGAAAGGCAAACTACTGAGCAGTTGGAAGGATTCTTGGCTCATCCAACTAATGCAAAATCACTACTACTTACACTGACTAAAAAAAAAACCTCATCTGAGTGAGATATTTAACAGCTGGTCACGGTTCTTCCTAAAACTATGAAATATTTGCTAAAAAAAAGTCAAAATATGAAAACGTCTCTCTCCTACTCACATCCTCTCCCTTCAAATTAAGTCTTCTATGCAGTTTAAGTTTTAAATAGAAAAATCTTACTAGTTTCCTTACAGCTAAGAATATGAGTGTGGTATGAGTTAAAAACAAAACAAAAAAACCCAAAACAACAAAACTATAACACAAGGGGAATGGGGAGAAAAAGCAATCCACCCACAAACAAGACAGCACCAAGACAACCACAAGTTATCACGAGACCTGCAATAAAGTTTTGAAAATTTTCATATTACGTGCTGTCACTTAAACCATTTCAGAGCAACATCTCAAGATGCTAACTTATTAAATAACAAATTGAGACTATTTTATGGCATTAAATACAGCTAGTTTCTCCTTTTCTAAGTTAGAAGAGACACAGCTTCAAAACTTTTCATCAAGCGTCCAGTTAGGCTCTTTTGTAGACCCACAGTTGCTTTTTAGCTTAAGAGTTTCATTAGATTTACAGTCTTGTCTTATCAGACAAGACACAGAATAACCACACAAGGTGATAGTGATAAAAGACACAGTGGTAAATAAAACTGTATTTTGGTGTAAGTGAAAATTCTGGTTTTGTTCCTCAGAAAATACTGCCTTCTCTACAGAAGCTACAAGCTAAAGACAAAGCATTTCAATTTACAAGGTCCAGTAAACAAACACTTCCTTTAATGGTCTTCAGACATATTTTATTTCCCTTAACTAAAAAAATATGTAGAATAGTACACAAATACTCCACCTTCCATATCAGAATATTTAATCTGAGTTCTCAGTCAGTATTTCTTCAATCAAACAATACTCTGACATAATCCAATTGTTCAGATGCTCCCCAACAGAAGGCCTTTTACAAGACTTCTCCTCTCTCATCCTGCAATAAAAATCTCATGTTCTGTAAGTGCCCAAGTTTACTTTGCCTGTAATAACTTCTAGTGTATTTGATGCCTTCTACAATCAAAAAAGATGGTAAGAGAACAAAATTCCCAGGTTCTGACTACTCTCAAACAGAACAACCTACAGTTTTGGTGCACTGAATGCAACTGTGAAGAGAATTTTTAAAATGGCTTAGAAAAGTACGTGTTAGCAAGTACATAAACCCAAACCTCAAGGAGATTTCACACTACAAGTACCTCAGCGTGTGTTCCCAGTCCTATTTTTCTAGGCAAAAAAAGAAATTCTAAGTTCTCCAAATATTGTAATACTAGACTGAAATTTTCAACGTTACGTGCTTTTATCACCTCCTACTAAGAAGACGAGTTCTTCCCTACTTAGCAAAGCTTTGCAGCAACTTCAAATTGGTTCTGCACACTCACCCCCCTCCCTCAGTGACCTCTTTTGTCCTTCTCCCCATGCCTGCTCCCAGGCTCCCACAAGACACGTCGCTGTGTGCACGCACTCACATGGACCTACATATTGTCTTCTCTGTTGCCTGAAGTACAGGCTCAAAACCCCATCTGCTCTTTCCTCACCCAACCCTGGGGTGATCTGTCTGATTCTTCTGTTTCCCCCATCAGGTTGGAAACATAACATCAAGGGATTTCCTCTTCATCAGACCATAATCAGGAGATGTTTTAACTTTTTTACTTCAACTATTCTACAGGCAGGGTTGTCTGTTTTGCTTCATAAAGAACTGTACTTCTGCATTTTTAGCACTGTTCTGCCATCTGGTCCATGGACACAGAGACATCTGTGTTTAGCGGAACATGGTTTAATTGTGGACTTGGCAGTGTTCAGTTTTCCATTGGACTCAATGATTGATCTTAAAGGTCTTTTCCAACCAAAATGATTCTATGATCTCAACCAGGTAAAAGGTGATCCACCAGGACTTATATCTATACGCCTTGAAGACAGATCTGCATTTTGTCAGTAATTTGATGTTTTGATTGCCAAATACCAGATACTGACAATACATTTCACTAAAAGCCAGGTTAGAGCATAAAAAAAAGCCTAACTGACTTCCTTTGCTCTAACTGGAATGGTTCTTGCCACCATGTGATGCCAGATCAACCAGAGACCTAATTCAGATCTTGACGTTAACTCAAACTTCAATTCCTCACCATCAACTCACATGCATCTAAAACTGCCATCAGCATAGGTCCCACCATGGACACACTGATATAAACATATTCCCATTGCCCCTACCACTGTTTTCCAAGTCCACACACATGCTTCCACACGGTCTCCCACAAATGTAAACTAAGGCCAAACAATAAACTTCCTCCCATAGCTTCCCCTCACTTTCCCCTCACAAAAAACAAAAACAAAAACAAACCCAAACAAACAAGAAGGAAAAAAACAACCCACAAACCAAAAACCTCCCACGCATCAAGGATTTGAAGAGAAGGAGCCAGTCACCTATTGATTTTCAATTTTACTACTTATAAGGCTAAACACAGATTAGCATCTTCATGTTATGTCAAGCCGGGGAGGCAGAGAGGAGGGAAGATACATTCCACCTACAAACTGTCTCTTCACATCTTCTGCGCTTATGAGATAGAAATCCAGTACTCAACAATAAACAACTCCTAGAACCGCATCATCAACTAAGGTATCAAGTTAGTCATGTCTTTTTACTA